CAGTAGATTTACAGAATACAGATGAAGGGCAGTCGCTACAATCTAGAGTATCCCCACCGTTACAGTTTTGGCCTTACTTGGAATAAAAAAAACATTCTCACGCCACAAAGGTTTTGATTCAAAAATATGCCACTCACTAGTAAGCACCCTGATCGTTAGATACATGTGCTCCACGCATCAACGTATCGTCAGTAGTCATGAGATTACGAGGTATTACCGTCGATAAATGTAACACGTTCGCCATGTGCAACGATGTATTGCCAAAGCCACGTTGCTCTCTCCAGCTGAAAAAATTGTGGCGATTGATGGATGGCTGTCAAACCTGATTGGTACACCAGATATCAGATAAACTACGAATATTACACGAAAATTACGCGTAATTCTAACACGTGCTTAACTGTAATCTTCGCCAGCCTTCACGAATAATATAAATAATCAAAAGGTTAGCGGTTTCAAAAGCCAATAAATAGAGAACGGAGATGCATCCATGTCGTGTTGGGGCTAGGTCTCAAAAACCAAGGGGTTGCAACGTCGTCACAATCCCGCTCTGGACTGGATATAAAATCCAGAAAAGTAGATTTTGCACAGACTAAGGTTTCAAAATATTGGGAGCATACCTTGCGTCGCAAGGTTTATGGGAAGCTGTTCCACTGAAACCTTTGAATGCTTTTGGGCAATTTCAAGAGTTTACATGGGAACGGAAAGGGAGACTTGCAGAAACTCTCTAATATCACAAGACGTTGCTATAACGAGAGCACATCGAGGGCAGTGTGGAGGGCTGAGGAGCTAAGAATTCAGACGACGCCACCAGATCAACTACACCAGTGGCCAACATGTACCAGTCGCTCGCGATGATCATCTACCAACCCCCGTACGGCGCAATCAAGGATTCGGCTCCGAGTGAATAGCGCTGTGACAGCAAGGCTTCGAGGCAATGAACGAGGATGACAATGGAGGAGAGCAGACGCCTGCCGCCATAACTGGATTAGTCGGACTTTGGTTCAATTTCCCACAAGCAACTGGTGAAACGGCGACGGCAGTACGACGGCAGTACGTGCAGCAGCTAGTAAGTGGAGAGATGGTAAAATTTCGGATGGAGTGTTGCAAATCCATGTAATTTTAAACCAATAGAATCGTAGCCTGATGTAAAAGACACGCAATATTAAGTTTACGCCAAATCAGAATAATCTAGCCATCTGTACTCAATATTTGGTGTGGCTGGCCACTGCCATGCCAATGGCGAGCGACCACCACGTCACACACACTATCATTAATAATATCCCAAGCCCTCCATTCATCATCTTGTAACTCTTATTTTACGATGCATTCTAGATCATGGGCCATCGTAAAACGCCGTACCATGAACCTGCCTTTGGTAGTGAGTATGTTAGAGATCTTGCAAATCATAGGAGCCCAACACGTGCTCCCGCGCGATATTTGCCACACACCCGAAAGAAACTTGATAAACCATCCACTGAATTCCTGCCTTTTTTGCTTCTCTGTTTCGATGTTATCACTGAGTGGTGTATGTATTTTCACGATACAGTAGGGAAGGGCGTTTTGAAGGGATCACGTGTGGATCGACGAGCGCGCCAGGTGGACACGGGTGAAAAGAACAACGAGGCGAAGACGGCGAATATCTTGTAAAGGGCCAAGGACGGCGAGTACAGAAGGTGTTAGTGAGCAAAGTGTTACCACACACACGTCAGTGTGTAGTAGGTGCATGTGGTGAACGGCAATTGGGTCGGTGTATGAAGTGGCGGTCAATGAGACGGAAGATGGGTACAAGGGCAAGACGTCATCGGTTGACAGGACCGGTTAAAGCGCGGATGGCTAGTGAACGATCCTGCTGGAAGGTCGCTACAGCCGCACTATCGCAACTGGCGAAGAAGAAAGTCTAGTGGAAAGAGCGGTCAATGTGAGATTTGCGCCGACGAGGCCACTGCCGAATGCGTGAGCAAGGGCAGTGAACTGTGAAGCAATCCGTCACCAGAAGGGCGCTATTGCTGGTCTGGTGATAGCGTAGAAGACAGACAACCTAACACAAAGTCAATAAGCCGAAGTTGCCACTCGAGTGCCTTAGAGTCAATAAGGACAGAACTGTGAAATCGTCGCTACTTTTCGATCAGAGTAGGAAGAGAGTATCGATCTTGCCCAAAAAGCGCACCGCTTATAATATCCACACCCAGTACTCGTTTTGGTGGAAGATAGGCAGAGATACCGGGGCGCAAATACCCTAACAGCGCTACTGGCAAGGTTTCTCAATCAATCATTCCGGTAGAAAGTTTCCTACCGGAAACAATGTCCAAAGGTTCTAGTTCCAGTTATAGCGTGTTTTGAAAATCGTCGACAGGTTCTTGTTTTATGTTGCGGGTTGTGGCGTTTTGTGGCGTGGGGTGGTTTTTAATGAGAACAACCGCGTGTTTCCTCACTACTTTGGTTGTCTATGAGAACTTGGACTCAAACCTTAACTATGACGGGGTCAGACAGCACCTTGCGCTGAGGAAGCAGGCTTCCAAGAGTATACAAACTGTAAGTGAACCACAGTTCAGGTGTCACTGGTCGGAGGGAGCGAAGTATTCAGTTAGGGGTACGTTTAAAACTGAATGGATTTATAGGTAAGCTTAGCTTGGTTTCTACTACAAAGTATAAGTCACCTATAGTAAAACTATGTAGATATGCAATGACTGGCTTCTGGTACCATGTACCAGGTATTACAAGAGTGACAGGCCACTCTTCATGTAACTTCGGTACGCTTGTGTTCGTACTCCATTACAATAATTGTCATTTTCGCGTAGTTGAGACCTACCCTTGATCTTTAATAAGAACTACATTTTTGTGGAACATAATTGTACTCACAGCCTACAAGAGTTCTGGAGGGTCAAGCTGGGTGTGTATCCCGTAGGCAGTTACACAGTGTTTTCATGTGTAGTACCTGTAGCACCACAGCTTTCTGGGATGTTCTCGCTTTTGCGAAAGTCCTCTCGTTCGGGATGGATGGCCGAATCATTATTGAAATGCTTAGGCTTAGCAACAACGAGCCACCAACAAACGATGGATGCTCTAAACCCCTCAGACTACGCCTGAACCAGCACGGCAAGCAAGGGTGGCCTCAACAGTGATACCGCCAGTACGGCCACTACTCCAGAACGAATACAACAGCAAGGGCAGCTTGGACAGCGGTAAGGCCAGCTTCAACGACACGAGCGGCTTCTACAGCGACAGCTCCAGCAACTTACAGACCCAACGCACTTGCACCAGCGCGGCCGGCAATGGAGGCTACTGATGTGACAAGGGGTGGCAGAAGCGGCCCAATTTGAAGCATTAAATGAGGAACGATCAAACTTTTACGAAAAGAGATACTATACCGTATATACAAGCAATACACTACCGGCTTTCCCAGCATACTAGACATAGGCGCTCCAAAGTAAAGTAGTGTTCTGTTCAATTTGAGGTGAAGCCTGACGTTTGTACACCCACCGAGTAGAACAAACAGATATTAGGTTGTAATAATAAAAAGACAGAAAAAAACGTCATGATAACTGGAGCAAGATATCTGCATTTAAGGGGTATATACCAGAAACGTATTGACCACGCAAAATGCGTCACTACCAGGCCAACTTCTCTTGTTAGTTTTCGAGAGTTCATGTAACCATCGCTAAGTACGATTATTTATCCTGATTCCATGATGAGCTTCTCGTTAAAAAAACAACGGAGGATGAAGAGATCGTGACTAATACGATGTCTTTGCTTCGATTCAATCGAAGCGAACGTTTACCAGAGTGATCTCAATGGCGTCAGTAGTACTCAGGTTGGTTGCCCCAAGAACGTTCCCAGACCCGCCAAAACTGTATTTTTGGCAGTCTCATGCTCAAAGGGAAGCCACCCCATCAGAATGCAACGCGTGTATAGTGATGTAAACGCGCGGAGCTGCAGAGTCTTACCATGACTACCAGACACTTGATCTCATACTCTCTAGCCAGACAAGAGTAGTCTGCGTTGGAAACCCTTAGTAAAGCGCAATGCGCAAACGCAAGTCAACACCTCTAGTCTTCGCGACCCGAATGCTACTGACGAAAAAGGCGACACTTCAACGATTGGAGGACCAAAGCTCCGGGCGATCTTGGCTCACCAAGTCGAAGTGGACAAGAATTTACGCCGCATTCTGCACAAACGTTCCCTATTACAGGGAATGGACTTTGTTTTCGGGAACGAACCCACATCGAGGTACTCGTTCACTGCGTTTGAGAACAACAAGTCGATCATAGATCACTTGGAACAGAAAGTGGCACAGCTTTACTTGGACTCGGAAACCGTGTTTCAAAGCGGACCACCGCCTTCTATCAGCTGCAGTATGCAGATGAAATACATCGAAGCTTTCGGCATGACAGCGGAGGCCCTGTCAACGACACCCGTACCGTGTTCGATGGAGGTGGCCGCTGATATTTGCTGGAAGGACTTGAGTATTCCTCGTCCTTGTCCGGAGAAATGGGCACGTTGTATGAAAAGCAGGCAACCGCATTCGCACGAGAAGAATTGGATCCTCGCGCTGCAGTGCCAGTCGTACGTGAAACAAGTCAAGGGCGTTCAGTTCCTGCGAAAGTACATTGAACCGAATCGTATCGTGATTATCAAGGCGGACATGATGACGCTCAATAACGAAGGACTGCAGTTTCGTGACCAGACGTGGACTATCATCTCTCGTGCTCAGACTAAACCGAACGCTGCTGTGGTGCGAGTGTGTGAGCAAATGTTCTTGGACCGAGAAGCCAGTGAAATAGCAACCTCACGTCCGGAAGATATTGACTATGCGCAGAATGTAGTGCTTAAGAATTTGAACTGGAAGCTGAGGGAGCACACCACACACCTACAGGACCAGCTGATTGAGGAGACGCAAAACTTTGGGATGGTACCGGCAGCGTAGAGAGGCTTAAGAGCACAGTGTAGCTGCAAAATGCAGTATAGTTCACTGCAGCACTTAGATTTACTTGATAATCTCTCCACGAACGCGGTCTTGGTGTAGACGATTTAACCTATTACGGCGTGGACTCTGAAAAAGTAACCCGCTACGTACTTTGTAATTTTTGCAACATTTCTTCGACGGTATTGTCATGTAAGATTTCGCGCAATAATTATATATGTATTGAAGAGTTGAACTTATAATTGTATGTATTGGAGGGTAGCATTTTTTTTTCGAAAACATTTACAATGGGACGAATACAGGATCAAATGAGAACTTGACAAGGAGCATTGGATCCACGCTAGCTCTGACACGTGTTTCAGAGAACAAAGCAGATCTTGTTACTTCAGCAAAAAAGAAAAAAAGACAAATCGAACAGACTTTGCCAAATTGCGGAGACTACATCCAGGTACGATACTTCTCGTAAAAAAGTAAATTTCCCTTGACGCTGAACTACTATCAGTACGTAGCCAATTTCAGCGAGTTCGTATATTGCCGTCGGGCGTAATTCTAGCGTTGCTGAACACGATCGAGGTATCCTCGAGAGTATCCAACTTTTCCATCAATACTGGTACCATGTCCACGTTGTGTTGGAGGCTAATGAGTTGTTCATCCTCCAAATCCCAAGTGAAACGAACTCAGCTCGGGAAAACGAAATGTTGGTCTCTTAATTGCGCAGCAATTTGGGCGGATCGACTTCCTTCTCTAGCAGAAAAGAGATGCGGAAACACAATCTGCATTGTCAGTGCTGAAATCGTGAAGCTGGTGGTGGAAAAGGCGATGAACGAGCGCTCCGCAGTCCTCTTCACCTGCTTTAACTCCATCCTTACAGCTGGAAACCACTGCGTGAAGAGATACCAGTTCGTCACCAGTGTATCAACGCCGCTTGAGGTGTTACTCAAAACATCAGGAGCCATCGTTGCATATAGAAAGCTCAGGTCCTTCGAATTGATAACATCACTATCGATGATACCACACCGAAAGATACGAAAGTACTCGGCAACAACGACCCAGACCGTTAAAGTTCGAGGTGACCAGAGTATGTATCGATCACGGTAGTGCTTGAGTTGAGTAATTTGTGCACTCAATTGTCGATTCGAATTCTCGAGCTGTTCTTGGTATTTTCGCTTGCGCTCTCGATATCGTAGACTATAATCACGGTTGGTGAGCGTGGTGGTGAAATGTTGTTTCATCTCCGTCTTCTTCGTCTGTCCTTGAGATGACCGTTGCCACTTAGCGTCTCTAACATATTGGACGCAGGTAGCTCTCGACGCTTGCTTCAAACTATTTGAGTTTCTGCCGTTTGGGGTTCTGTGCTTTATGTCGATGTTATTGTACGTACGAAGCGGTACGTGCGGTTGTGTCTGATCCTGGCTGGTGGCATCGATAGTTGGGTACATACAAGACCAGAACGGTTGATTCACGATGACTTTGTCGCTTAGTACATGGACGCTAGGAGGTTGGATTGTGGTCTGCATGATCCGTTTGTCAAGTAAAAGGCGCGAAACGAAGAAAATATTTGTAAGAATGGAGTAGATTCCCGCAGCAAATTGAGTATTGTTGCCATACATCGTTCATGAGTTCATGCCCAGTTATCTTGGACCTTTGGCACAGAGTAATACGGTAAAACAAGGTGCTTAGGTGTTTACGATAAACTTTAGTGACGGGTTTTGTGTTGCTAGCCTTTTGTCAATGAATGGAAAGGCGCGAGGCTAATAGCAATGTTTGATGACGTGGTTATTTTTATCAATTCTATCATAAAATATAAAAATTGATAAAAATAACTACGTCATCAAACCTTGCTGACATACAACATTCATGACCTGCAACTAATGGTCTGGCTGGCTATGGTGGATCCGTGGCATTTAGCATGCGTAAATTATGATACAGAGACACGTTTCAGTACTATAAACAATTTGTCAACCTTACTTCCTCCGTCCGGAATATAATAGGGGCATATATTTAAACCATGTCCGCAAGTGAATGCAAGATTACATTATTAGGGTTCTCACAATGCTTTCACAAGCAATTTCTTAAGAATGCCAAAGAATAATTCACTGTCCAGAAATGTTAACCGTTGCAACTTGTAACGTGCGATTCTACAATGCTATTCCATAACAGATATCTTCTCCAATCATAAGGATCGATCCACGCGGTAATTGTGGACGAATCAGCAATCAAATCCATTCAGCAATGATCTTCCCATTACGCACCACACGAGTAGAGCATGGGAGAGTGATTTTCATTCTACAAGAATGACTATTTTGACCAATAACGTCGCGCCCTTTGCTATTAAATGATTCTACAAGTGCTAAGTGAGAACCCTAATTTAGCAATACCTTTTCATTGCGACAATATATGCCCATTCAATGCTGTTGTTGCTAGTGACCGTTGCTGACCAGGCACTAAGACATTTTAAGCGCTGTATGTAGCTGGGTCAAAGAAGGCTCGCAAGTCTCACATCTCTACAAGGTTTTAGACCGGGATCAATATGAAGGAGACGATGACTTTTCTACTTCGACTTGAAAATTCCGTAGTAATGGGAGTAATTTAGACTGATCAGTTTCGTGTTAAAAGCCGACTAATGTAATGAATATGTGTCTACGAAGAGCGAGGCAATTTATCGAGCTGATACTATGTACTGAATTATCAAGTCGCGAGCAAGAAAAAGCGAGAATTTAAAAAAAACAAAGGGTTGGGTAATATGTTCCGTCCATCCATGACAACGACTACACTACACAGGCTTTGTGTTAGTCCGCAGAGGTTCTCTAGATCTCAGTGGCACACGTGCAAGACACTTTGAGCGCAACGGAAGCAAAATTGTATGGAGTTGGCCAAATCCTTGTGGAAATCTCCGACCACGTCATTTAAGATGGTAGGATTTTAGACCAATCGTCACTTTGCATAAAAAAATATAATAGACCAATATTCACATTGTATTATTAAGAAAAGTATATGCAGTGAATATTGGTCTATAGGTTATCATCAATTCCTTTCCATTTTTATCCTTTTCTAACCCGAGTTAGTCGTATCATCAGGCTCCGCGTTTTTTTTTGGCGTACTCAGATAGTAAATAACTAAAGGACGGTTTAGATACTGTATGGACCAAGAGAATGTTATTTTCTCCACTTCTATAATTTTAATACTTAAGTAAATAGTTTGAATCCAAAAAAAAATTGAATTTCAAATATGTCAGATCTTCTTGGAGCACACGTCAGCAACTGTTGTACCTAGCTACTGTTTACTGGAGACGTGAGATTCAGATAACTAAGTAAACAACCTACAAGTGTGCTCCTACCGCTTGTAAGGCACTCGTCAATGAGCTCATTGGCAATTCCGCGATGGGTTTAATAGTGACTGGAGACGATATGCTTAGACTGGACGAGGCCTTGGCATTCATTGCGTTCTGTGACGAGAGAATTCATGATCCTGTCTCCGCAGATAATCTGCATGGAACGCGAGCGTCTATCTTGCTGGAAGAAATTGACGATCTACTAGACCCAGAAGTCCAAGGATCAGTATCCGCTGAGTCAATCAAGACCTCTTCCACGAGTCATAATTTGAGTTTAATAGGGATACCATCAGTAACGCCTGCAAGGCAGAAGAAGCGAGTCCGAAGTGCGGGGAGTTCTTCAGCTGTGCTGCAACGCCGCAAAAAAGCTGAGATCGAAAGTCTGCGCGAGGAATCGAAGACCCTGGAAACATATCTATCTCACTTGAGAAGAACGGGAGGACCAGAAAAGGCAATGGCGATAACGAACGGCGATGAGTTGCGGTCAGAATGGCAACGCCACGCTTTCATTCAGTATCAACAACGGTACGCGTCTGAACAAACCAATCGACACCTGAAGGAATTGCTGAGCAAGCAACAGAGGCTCTCAAGGAAGCTACGACGCAATTTGTTCAAACGAAACGCGCTAGACGTGAGTATTTGGTTCTACGATTTTGTTGTAATTATTACAGCTCACTAGTTTGTGTTGCTGTGCTACAAAGGGAATCGAATTTGTGCGGACACTCGAATCGCCCACCTTCGATGAAGCCCCTTTCATTGTCAAGGGCTCGAATGTGCTGATGAGGCAACTGGAAGACGAAGTCAATAACATCTATTGCGATTTCAATCGAATCTGCCAACCTGTTGAAGACCGTAGCAGTTCTGAGGTGACGTATGGTGAAAAGTGTAAGGCCAACATCATGGAATTTACGACCACGACGCCTTTGAGCTGGCCCATGACATCTGCATTCACTCATGTGTGGAATATGCTCGAGAGCAGTTTGGTAGGTAGCTGGTCAACCTTCATGAGCATTAGAACCAAGCGAGGTATGACCATATTGTGGTGGTGTACAAACTTTAGGATCGAAGTCGCAATCCCAACACACTGGAGAGAAGGGTCAATCTTACGATTCCAATCGGCAATGGTACATCCTGCCATTTCCACAAGCTTCACTTCCTGCACAAATACGAGGAAGAAGACCGTATTATTGTCATTTGGTCCGATCTCATGCAGATGACGACAAGGACTGTCAAGTTACGTTCGCTCGCCTATGTTGTCTTCACTCCGTCCAAGAACGATCCATCACAAGCGTGTATCATTCACACATTTCTTTAACTCTATGTTGAACCCAGCGAAGATATCGTGTCCCAGCAGGATATACGATTTGGACGAGAAGTGCTATTGGGTGCTTTTGCTAGACTCATGCGCACGTTCTGGCAAGACCAACAGAACCGATTGCTAGAGGTAACATCTCGCTCTCATATGTAGGCGTTAAAAACAGTGTAAAGGTGAATGCTAAATGAAGTGCCATGCTTTGCCGTTACTTTGTTGTTTTTTAACATGACAAAGTCAGCGCGAAATGCTACATACTTTGTCAATGTCATAACTCCGTTCATCGATCTCCATCGAGACGATAGGTGAGGTAAGCTGGTAAGCGTGAAATGACACATAGCTCAGTGCAGTCACACGGTTCACATGTGTTTGATTACAGCCGACATTTCGACGTCGACATTGTCAACAAGAACTCCAACCTGTTTTTCATTTTTTTTTACGTTTTCTGAATTTGTTCGGATGCTGCAAAAATTTACACGTTGTATTATATGATGCAGAAAGTGTGTGAAGATTTGCTGAAGCATCGTGATTTGCTAGTTGAAAACTATATGATGTAGAAAGCACCTGTCAACAACGTCACGACAGCGATGCTGGTGATGAGCTCTAGTAGAAATACGTCAACTAACTTAGATTCTTGGGGCATCTCCACCGGCATTTGCATAAAACTAAACGCTAATAGTGTCCAAACAAAAAATATATAATCGGCAGGATGCTTTGCTCGCAGCGCGAAAACGTGCGGGATTCTGATCAAATATGCCTAAGTCTTTTCCATTTCTGGTCATGCATATGTGTATGAGCAAAGTTCTCCTGTATGATTTTTGTTAAACTATTTACGTTTATTTTTACGTAAATGCCGGTCGAAATGCCCGAATACCTTGACATTATCGACATGAGTATGTCTGGTCTGCTCCTGGAAATACTACACGTGTATGGTCTTCGCTTGCACAAGGGCCCGAGATCGTATCACATAATGTATAGTAGAACCATCAAAATTTATATCTATTACATTATTAATGGAATTTTACGTCACAGATACCACATCTTCGTGGAGTCCGCCTCTGCAACTGCTGTATCTACCTACTGTTTACTGAAGACTCGCGGTCCAGAAAACCATGTAAACAACCTTGTCGTCAGAACTGGGCTCCCAACGTTTTTATATTTTTTAAGTAATAATACACGAGATATGCAAATTTGAAGATATAGCGTCATTAAACGTTTGACGAACATCACGTCTTCCCACCTGGACAAAAAAACTGGGAGCCCCGTCACCAAATAATATCGTAAACACCTAGCCACCTGTTCATTCCACACTACTATGTGGATAACAGCTTACGGACCACTCAGGTACTCGGCAACAAAACCCTGAGCAAGTTTGCGGCCATTAATTCAATTTTCAATTTGCTGCTGGTGCTCACTTCACCATTTCAAGTATCTCCTCGTTTCGCCCCTTTTGCTTGACAAACGGATCATGCAGACCACAATCCAACCTCCTAGCGTCCATGTACTAAGCGACAAAGTCATCGTGAATCAACCGTTCTGGTCTTGTATGTACCCAACTATCGATGCCACCAGCCAGGATCAGACACAACCGCACGTACCGCTTCGTACGTACAATAACATCGACATAAAGCACAGAACCCCAAACGGCAGAAACTCAAATAGTTTGAAGCAAGCGTCGAGAGCTACCTGCGTCCAATATGTTAGAGACGCTAAGTGGCAACGGTCATCTCAAGGACAGACGAAGAAGACGGAGATGAAACAACATTTCACCACCACGCTCACCAACCGTGATTATAGTCTACGATATCGAGAGCGCAAGCGAAAATACCAAGAACAGCTCGAGAATTCGAATCGACAATTGAGTGCACAAATTACTCAACTCAAGCACTACCGTGATCGATACATACTCTGGTCACCTCGAACTTTAACGGTCTGGGTCGTTGTTGCCGAGTACTTTCGTATCTTTCGGTGTGGTATCATCGATAGTGATGTTATCAATTCGAAGGACCTGAGCTTTCTATATGCAACGATGGCTCCTGATGTTTTGAGTAACACCTCAAGCGGCGTTGATACACTGGTGACGAACTGGTATCTCTTCACGCAGTGGTTTCCAGCTGTAAGGATGGAGTTAAAGCAGGTGAAGAGGACTGCGGAGCGCTCGTTCATCGCCTTTTCCACCACCAGCTTCACGATTTCAGCACTGACAATGCAGATTGTGTTTCCGCATCTCTTTTCTGCTAGAGAAGGAAGTCGATCCGCCCAAATTGCTGCGCAATTAAGAGACCAACATTTCGTTTTCCCGAGCTGAGTTCGTTTCACTTGGGATTTGGAGGATGAACAACTCATTAGCCTCCAACACAACGTGGACATGGTACCAGTATTGATGGAAAAGTTGGATACTCTCGAGGATATCTCGATAGTGTTCAGCAACGCTAGAATTACACCCGACGGCAATATTCGAACTCGCTAAAATAGGATACGTGCTGCTAATAGTTCAGAATAGCTTGGTATCATAACGTGTTGTTGTTGTTTTTTGTTTTTAAAAAAGGGTTGCATCTGGAGGGTTACCTCGCAATTTGTCCAAGTCGATTCGACATAATGTGCGAAAAGGTAACATAACCTGTAGTATATTTTAGAGTCTACCGTGGATGATACTTTCGTTTATAGTTCAAATATGAGCCTATGTTCGTACCCTCTTCGCATCATTGTTGTTGCTACCCACCGATTTATATATTCGACAAATTGATTTTCGACGGAGCGATTTGGCTGCGCACATCGTGTTGAGGTAGCATGAATCTATACCAGTTATGTAGAAACAAAACGCATTGTTATGTAAAGGCCTTAATCAATTCGAAAGGCCCTTACTATTCTGTTTAGTAAAGGTTAGATTAAAGTTAATCAATCAGGCGGTATGGGTTCAAATAAATAATTCGAGGCTTAGTGTTGTTAGAAGGAGAAAAAAAATCCTGGTGCAACTCGAAATCACCTGTCACAGCTACTTTGTCAAATTCGAATCGCCCGGCAACCGAGTAAGATTATCGATATAAAAAAGAGTCTACGTTCACTTTTTGTTTTAGTTGAATTTCCAATAAGGAGAAACCAGTACTATCAATGTTGTTTGCACTCATGTTATTATGAACCACTACTGCGAGCTAATGCATGTAATAGTAGTATAGCTGAAATCTGCACCATCGCACAAGTTACACTCGCGTGTAAGCATTGCACAGATAAACATTAACCCTCTCTAGTCCGGAGTGCTGTATAATGCAGTTTATAATTTTTCTTATGCTACACAAGAGCCATTTCGACTTGGGTTTTGTAAAGATCGAACTGATCTTGCCAGAGGGTATACAAAACGTGAGATATAAAATCTCATCTAGTGATTTCAATACCTAAAGGTATCAGTATGGGGGAACAGAATGTCACCATTATTTTTATAAGAAATAATGCAATTTGACAGTTTTTCATTAATTTTGGCAGGCAAGCGCTGTCAGTTAATCGCCAAATTCTTTCTCTTTCGAGATTTTGCGAGGAACCAAGACAACAGAGATCACGAAGGAAAAGCACGTCCATGACGCCGACGTCACACCACGAGACCTGTCCTTCCGGTCTGTCTGGTAAGAGCTCGAGGCTCAAGGATGGACGTATAAGCGCCCACCAAGGCGCAGGCCGTACGACTGATACCGCTATATCCGTCCCTGCTGCGCGTGAAAGAGTCGATTACTTCTTGGTGACGAAGGGGTGCTTGCGTTTTACGCGAACAGTACACTATTATAATAATATTGTTATTAAAGCTGTGCATATATGCTGCTTATGTAGTAGTGCGTACTTGAACGGGAACTCTTCAACCGGTGTACCGTCAGTTTGACTGTAGTGCTCCAACTTTTTCCACTTTGATTGCGGCGCCGCAGCAGTGTCGATCAAATTAGTGGGCGGTGATTCTGGATCGGAGGACGAAGTGGCGGTCGACGATGCTTCTGCCGATTCAGCGGATGATGCAAGTGACTATGAATTTGGTAAGCTGCATATTTGTGCTGTAAGTTATGTTGCATCTTGGGCTGCATGTAAAGAAGCATATAAATTCGTATTTTATGTTATATTAATTAATTTGTTTTAGTAACTGACAGTGCTGTAGTTTATCTCTGTAGTTGTAATTGAAGGTGAGGAAGGGGAATACGGATGGATGTGCGCTTTACTGGGATCGTCTTGTAGACGTGGACGACTCTCTCAACAACGTTGTAGAAGGAGCTGATGATGCGGATTGTAGTTCCATGGAATCTGGAGACGATACCGAGAAAGACGACCTGGATACCGGTGAAGACATTGGCGGCTGGCGCGAGGGCCCTTATGGGTCTAAGAATGTGAACGAACCTGAGGATACGGAAACTGATATAGCAGATGTTATGCATTTTGCCACACGCTTCCTTAATAGTTATCATAACGAAGATCAAGTTCTTGCTGAAGCGCAGTGTGATACGTGAAATGAATTTGACACGTTGGGATGATGTGGAAGATCCTGATACGTGCAACAACATGATGAAATCATACGAGCCCGTGGACAACACGCAAAGCCACCCATACCTTCGGCAGGGATATTCAGGTCCCACCGCGGAAGCTCTACGGAATCCCGACTACCCATTCGCGCTCATTTTTTTTCCTTCATGCCAGTACCGTTGTGGCAGCACATTGCTGTGCATTCCGGGCAGGAAATGTTGCCGCTACGCGTGGAAGAGCGGTGCAAAGTCTACAGCTAGAAACGATAATTCACTCCCAAACTCCCGAAGTTTGAAACGCGTATTATATGGCCTGAATTGCTAGCACTGCACAAATTCTGTCGTTATATTGGTTTGCTTATTGCATGCCCGATCTCACGGAATTGTGAGAAGCTTGTCCACCGCTGGAAGAGGACCGACGAAAGCGAGATACCACGCAGCACATTTGGAACCGTGCTGCGTTCCGATCGGTCCATGGATATTTCGTGAAATATACACTGCAATCCCAACGGAGACCCAAGAGCAGCGACAGACAAAGCATGAAAGATTCAAAAGTTGTGGAGGTGCTCTAGAAGACTTTCAAATCTGGGTATGTGCCACTGTCGCACTTGGCTATCAATGAAACAGTGTTACCAAGCCGCTCGTCGTTCAACA